AACACACGGCAACCGTGTACCTACCTCACCATCACACCCAATGCACGCAACCGTGTACCTACATCACCATCCCACGCAATACACGGCAACCGTGTACCTACCTCACCATCCCACCCAACACACGGCAACCGTGTACCTACCTCACCATCCCACCCAACACACGGCAACCGTGTACCTACCTCACCATCCCACCCAATACACGGCAACCGTGTACCTACCTCACCATCCCACCCAACACACGGCAACCGTGTACCTACCTCACCATCCCACCCAACACACGGCAACCGTGTACCTACCTCACCATCACTTAAGGGATGTCCAGTGTGGCCCCCGGGTACCTGCCGCCCCCTGCCCTGACCTAGTGCAGTGGCTCCGTGTATATATACCAGCAGTAAGCAAAGCCCCGATGTGTCAGAACCATGTGACACGCCCTGGTTGGGTGACCGCTGGGGTAGGACTGAGGGCACCTCGTAGGGGGTTCCACAATCCATGAACTGGTTGGAGTTCCCCTTTAAGGAAGGTTTTCCTTGTGCTCCGTTGGGTGGTCTTGCGGGACACCCCGACCAATGAGGTGGGCCGGCCAGCCTCCGGAGGCCGCTCTCTGTATGAATATTTCAGGGGACGTCGTGATAAAAGGTTTCCCGGCACAAGCAGGAGACAACAAAAACGCATTCTACGCGGAGCAGAGTGGAACACGGAGCAGGATGGAAGACGCCTCCACCACAGGAAGTGTGCAGAGCACTCAGAGCCTGGGAGCGGGCCAGAACCAGATGGTCTTGGAGCGCGGAGAATCTGGAATCATCCCCATACAAGATAACCCCTTCCTTCCCGGAGAGAGCCGAGCTGGAGAGACACGGGCTAGGCCATCCTGGTACAATCCGGGGCCCGATCAACGGCCCCGAGACCACCCATCATGGTACAATCCAGGGCCTGATCAACGGCCCCGAGACCACCCATCATGGTACAATCCAGGGCCTGATCAACGGCCCCGAGACCACCCATCATGGTACAATCCAGGGCCTGATCAACGGCCCCGAGACCACCCATCATGGTACAATCCAGGGCCTGATCAACGGCCCCGAGACCACCCATCATGGTACAATCCAGGGCCTGATCAACGGCCCCGAGACCACCCATCATGGTACAATCCAGGGCCTGATCAACGGCCCCGAGACCACCCATCATGGTACAATCCAGGGCCTGATCAACGGCCCCGAGACCACCCATCATGGTACAATCCAGGGCCTGATCAACGGCCCCGAGACCACCCATCATGGTACAATCCAGGGCCTGATCAACGGCCCCGAGACCACCCATCATGGTACAATCCAGGGCCTGATCAACGGCCCCGAGACCACCCATCATGGTACAATCCAGGGCCTGATCAACGGCCCCGAGACCACCCATCATGGTACAATCCAGGGCCTGATCAACGGCCCCGAGACCACCCATCATGGTACAATCCAGGGCCTGATCAACGGCCCCGAGACCACCCATCATGGTACAATCCAGGGCCTGATCAACGGCCCCGAGACCACCCATCATGGTACAATCCAGGGCCTGATCAACGGCCCCGAGACCACCCATCATGGTACAATCCAGGGCCTGATCAACGGCCCCGAGACCACCCATCATGGTACAATCCAGGGCCTGATCAACGGCCCCGAGACCACCCATCATGGTACAATCCAGGGCCTGATCAACGGCCCCGAGACCACCCATCATGGTACAATCCAGGGCCTGATCAACGGCCCCGAGACCACCCATCATGGTACAATCCAGGGCCTGATCAACGGCCCCGAGACCACCCATCATGGTACAATCCAGGGCCTGATCAACGGCCCCGAGACCACCCATCATGGTACAATCCAGGGCCTGATCAACGGCCCCGAGACCACCCATCATGGTACAATCCAGGGCCTGATCAACGGCCCCGAGACCACCCATCATGGTACAATCCAGGGCCTGATCAACGGCCCCGAGACCACCCATCATGGTACAATCCAGGGCCTGATCAACGGCCCCGAGACCACCCATCATGGTACAATCCAGGGCCTGATCAACGGCCCCGAGACCACCCATCATGGTACAATCCAGGGCCTGATCAACGGCCCCGAGACCACCCATCATGGTACAATCCAGGGCCTGATCAACGGCCCCGAGACCACCCATCATGGTACAATCCAGGGCCTGATCAACGGCCCCGAGACCACCCATCATGGTACAATCCAGGGCCTGATCAACGGCCCCGAGACCACCCATCATGGTACAATCCAGGGCCTGATCAACGGCCCCGAGACCACCCATCATGGTACAATCCAGGGCCTGATCAACGGCCCCGAGACCACCCATCATGGTACAATCCAGGGCCTGATCAACGGCCCCGAGACCACCCATCATGGTACAATCCAGGGCCTGATCAACGGCCCCGAGACCACCCATCATGGTACAATCCAGGGCCTGATCAACGGCCCCGAGACCACCCATCATGGTACAATCCAGGGCCTGATCAACGGCCCCGAGACCACCCATCATGGTACAATCCAGGGCCTGATCAACGGCCCCGAGACCACCCATCATGGTACAATCCAGGGCCTGATCAACGGCCCCGAGACCACCCATCATGGTACAATCCAGGGCCTGATCAACGGCCCCGAGACCACCCATCATGGTACAATCCAGGGCCTGATCAACGGCCCCGAGACCACCCATCATGGTACAATCCAGGGCCTGATCAACGGCCCCGAGACCACCCATCATGGTACAATCCAGGGCCTGATCAACGGCCCCGAGACCACCCATCATGGTACAATCCAGGGCCTGATCAACGGCCCCGAGACCACCCATCATGGTACAATCCAGGGCCTGATCAACGGCCCCGAGACCACCCATCATGGTACAATCCAGGGCCTGATCAACGGCCCCGAGACCACCCATCATGGTACAATCCAGGGCCTGATCAACGGCCCCGAGACCACCCATCATGGTACAATCCAGGGCCTGATCAACGGCCCCGAGACCACCCATCATGGTACAATCCAGGGCCTGATCAACGGCCCCGAGACCACCCATCATGGTACAATCCAGGGCCTGATCAACGGCCCCGAGACCACCCATCATGGTACAATCCAGGGCCTGATCAACGGCCCCGAGACCACCCATCATGGTACAATCCAGGGCCTGATCAACGGCCCCGAGACCACCCATCATGGTACAATCCAGGGCCTGATCAACGGCCCCGAGACCACCCATCATGGTACAATCCAGGGCCTGATCAACGGCCCCGAGACCACCCATCATGGTACAATCCAGGGCCTGATCAACGGCCCCGAGACCACCCATCATGGTACAATCCAGGGCCTGATCAACGGCCCCGAGACCACCCATCATGGTACAATCCAGGGCCTGATCAACGGCCCCGAGACCACCCATCATGGTACAATCCAGGGCCTGATCAACGGCCCCGAGACCACCCATCATGGTACAATCCAGGGCCTGATCAACGGCCCCGAGACCACCCATCATGGTACAATCCAGGGCCTGATCAACGGCCCCGAGACCACCCATCATGGTACAATCCAGGGCCTGATCAACGGCCCCGAGACCACCCATCATGGTACAATCCAGGGCCTGATCAACGGCCCCGAGACCACCCATCATGGTACAATCCAGGGCCTGATCAACGGCCCCGAGACCACCCATCATGGTACAATCCAGGGCCTGATCAACGGCCCCGAGACCACCCATCATGGTACAATCCAGGGCCTGATCAACGGCCCCGAGACCACCCATCATGGTACAATCCAGGGCCTGATCAACGGCCCCGAGACCACCCATCATGGTACAATCCAGGGCCTGATCAACGGCCCCGAGACCACCCATCATGGTACAATCCAGGGCCTGATCAACGGCCCCGAGACCACCCATCATGGTACAATCCAGGGCCTGATCAACGGCCCCGAGACCACCCATCATGGTACAATCCAGGGCCTGATCAACGGCCCCGAGACCACCCATCATGGTACAATCCAGGGCCTGATCAACGGCCCCGAGACCACCCATCATGGTACAATCCAGGGCCTGATCAACGGCCCCGAGACCACCCATCATGGTACAATCCAGGGCCTGATCAACGGCCCCGAGACCACCCATCATGGTACAATCCAGGGCCTGATCAACGGCCCCGAGACCACCCATCATGTACAATCCAGGGCCCGATCAACGGCCCCCAGACCACCCATCATGGTACAATTCAGGGCCCGATCAACGTCCCCGAGACCACCCATCATGGTACAATCCAGGGCCTGATCAACTTCCCCCGAGACCACCCATCATGGTACAATCCAGGGCCCGATCAACGCCCCCGAGACCACCCATCATGGTACAATCCAGGGCCCGATCAACACCCCCGAGACCACCCATCATGGTACAATCCGGGGCCCGATCAACGGCCCCGAGACCAACAATCATG